TAAAGATGGCTCCCTCATCAGGAAGCAGCCTACAGGTCACATGACCATCCAGCATGTTTCCAGGTCTGATGAAGGCCTCTACAAGTGTGACATCAGCGGTCATGGAGAGTCTCCATCCAGCTGGATCACTGTCACAGGTGAGGAGCTTCACTCTGATTTCACCTCTTATGTCATCCACATATTCACCTGAACACGTGGGATTCTGTCTGCAGGTAAACCTACAACCACAGTAATGCCATTCACCTCGGGACCACACCCTGATCTCCCCTCCCTCAAGCTTGGGTTCAGAGTGGTCCTCCACCTGGTGGTGTTCTGTCCATACCTTATTTCCACTGTCCTCATGGTGTCTTTATATCTACACAGAGCCAGAGGTAGCACTCTGAATCATTCACTGATCAATCAATACTGTGATGGTTACTCATCTCTCTGTTTAACCTCTTCCTGAGTTTAGACCTGATACTTCCTTTCTTATTTATTTTTTAAACAGGAAATGACCTTTGTGCATCCAACCTGGCCACTCAACCTGAACAGGGATTGGATGATGAGTATGATGATGTCATCACTGATGTCACTACAAAGCATCACTTCTAAATCAGAGCTCTGTTGTGTCTTTGAGCATTTCACTATTGCCTCAGTTATTCTTCTGTGGGAAATCTATGATGTAAACATCCACATGACCTCTTGAGAAATGTAACTACACACACAGCCTGCAATGACTTGAATAGCGTGGAAGATTGTGTTATGGGGATAATGGGAGTTTCCAGTGACTAGGATGTCGAGTTCCCGCAGACTTTTATATCAAGTTTAACTTTGTCAGCCTGTCACCTCTTTTGTGGAGACGATTTGAATAAATGGTGTTCATCTAGAACTGCTTTTATGTAGATTTATGTAGACTAGATTCTATGATTATGATATGATTCTATGATAGATTTTATGTATATTCCTGCTTTGATAAACTACAAACATATAAATATGTGAGTTAAACTAGACATCTTAATCATTTCTTGGTTTTGATTCTGGTTCCTTAATCAGCTCAAATCCCACAGAGCTTGAAAATACAAAGTGGAATTTGAAAGGTCTTTGATTCACGTGTACAGTCTGCTTCCACCTGCTGGTAATACTGGTGTATTACAGCAGAGCTGCAGCTTTTCAGTGTTTCTGCACTTGTTTTAAATCCGGAACCTCTCCTGGTACTAAAGAGCTGATCTGTTTCAAACTGCTGTTTCGTTTCTTGTAGAATAAATTATTTTTTTCTTACTAATCTTTAATAGTATCGTAGTGTTTCACTGCCAAACATGTTGTTCTGACCAGAACTGACCATGTTTGGATAATTGAGTAACATGCTGTGGCCAGCTAATCCTTACTAGCTCAGCTAGCATATTGCCTCTGTAACCAGGCTCAATCACTTTGCTGGCTGTTCAAAAAAAATCACTTGTCTCTGTGTTGTGTAGTAAATGATGAACGAGACTTGCTTATCCTTTAGTTCTTATTAACAGTCATCAGTGGAGATTATTTTATTAAGTCAGACAATATACAGTGGTCATATTCTCCATATAGTGATAGCAATAATACCAATATGTAATGGTCCCAGAAAGTGTACTGTGATGCAGAGTGCTGTGATCTACAACTGACTTTAACCTTGTCCCCTGTAATCTGGCAATGTTTTAATGCTGCCAGTGGCATTTATTCACTGCTTATGAGAGAGGGCGCTATTGAGCCAATAACCCTCACAATACTGTGGTTAACCTGGCATGCACTATAAACATACGACATAAACACTGTTACACGTCCATAGAAAGTGTAAGCCCAGCATACAGACGCCTGCTGGTCAGTGGTAAACAGTAAGTACATCGGCTTCATCATTCATCTCCAGATCTCACTGGTAAGGCTGTAACACAAAGAATGAAAAAAACAGGCTTTAGAGACAAATGATAAAATCAACACTTTCCATAATATATTCTACATTTTTACTAGTCTAAAAAAAAGAAAAATGCAAACACTCCCTTCAGGTCTGGTCAGTGAAGGCATCACACAGGTGTTGATGTTGCCTTCATGTTTTGCTGTCAGTTGAGAATTTCTTCTCACTGCAGACAGTCTCCTCTTCAATTATGTCCTGATCTGTTTCGGAAACACAATCTCCTCTGCATGTGTGAAAATCTCATACTTCCTGTCACCTTTACACATTCAAATAAACGTTCTTCTTTCTTCCACTGGATGTATAATATTCACATAAACCTTAATGGTAATAGAGAAAAATGAAAGCTGTATATTATTGCTTATTAGGTCTTCTTTTTCTTACAGTTACATTTGATTTTTTTTTTGTGACTCATGTGTTTTATAGAGAAAAGCTTAGATCTAAGCCACAAACAATATTATATTTATATGTGCAATGGTGGAGAGCAAAGATGTTGTAATAAAGTATGGATAACTGGTTAATATACATATGTACCCCTACCTCTTTTCATAGTTTTGCTGGGATATAGTGTGAAATAAATAATATATATATTTTGTGAAATTAAAGATTTTATTTATTTGATTAGATTTTAATTTTTCCACTTTGTATAACCACATTTTGATGTTTGATTCATGGCTGACAGAAGTGTCGAAGCAAATAGTTTGAGTCCAATGTGACGTTTCCGTAGAGATGGTTGAGTTGGTTTAACCCCTCTCTGCATTAAAAATGATTAAAAAGGTCAAATAAGTAACATTTTAAAACTAAAAGAACCAGTACAGGCATGATAATCACAAATAGAGTAATTAAATGTCACAAACATAGCTTGGCAAATTAAAGAGTTAAACTCTTGAGTAGCCACTTTTTTATAACATGCTGTGTGATGACAAGGGGTCCAACATGAGCCTGGAAAATGTTTTTCTTTATCATAATTTTACACTGCATTTATTAATGATGCAACATCCTGAGCGGTGTTTTATGTGGATTCATGTCTACTTACCAACTTCTTTAATCGCTACATTAAGATATATTAAAGTCCACAGAGTTTTTTTAAATGGTTGTGAGTGCCTCGAGGTAAATGTTGTCATTTGGTGCTAAATACAATAAATACATAAATAAAACTGAATTGAATGTTACTAATCTTTTTCTTGTTGATGCATTTGGGGATTTAGACCAAGACATTGAAATCAGATGAGGAATTCCCCCACACGGTCATAACTAATGGACTGACTGGACTCATAACACAGACTTGCAGGATTAAGTTCAGTGCGTTTATTTACAGTGAAGTAACAACAGAATGTGACAACAGAAGGATTTCCAGTTAGTGAATCCAAAGCTTCAGTTCAGGCAGGTCCACAGGAATTCTCTCTCTCAGTGGGTCCCAATTTCCTGCAGAGAGAGGGTAAGATGAGGTGAATGAGCCGTAGCATGCAAAGTTTTAGACTGAAAGAGCCGACTTCCATAACTGTTTCTGAGCCTAATAATGCAGCATCTGATGAAATCCCTCCTCCATCGTAAGTAGTGGGCAACTGATCAGAGCTTTACCAGTATGTGAGTTAATGAACCCAGGTGTGCGGAGCTGAAGCACGAGAAGCAGAGGAAGAACATGCCCTTTGAACACAGCCTGTCTCAGCCTCTTAATATGCTGGTTAGATAAGGTAGAGTGCAACGTTATTCAAGTGTAGTCCATGAAGGGAGATGAGTGAATTCATTTAAACAGGCACCTTATCAAGTGTTAAAAAAAAAAAAAAGAAAAAAGAGAAAAGAAAAAAGGACAAATTCGAAATTATTGACCCACAGAAGGATGAATAAACAGAATGAAATATAAGACAAAAAGAAGGCCTGTCATTTATTTTTAGAAGCCACCCATCTCACATGAGCTCTTTAAAGTTTTCTCTAATTGCTTCTCAGAAACAGATTACATATTGAGACCTCGCCTGTCATTGTCCCTCTAAAGCTACATCCACACTAGCCCGGACAGATTTGAAAACTGTTTTCATCTGAAAACGCTCCACATCCACACTAGCGTTTTCAGTTGTTTTGACAGATTTGTGCGTCAACATTGAAACAGACAAAAACTCTTACGTTCCAGTACTGCGCATGCGTGAAACGCAAGAAGATTCGACCTGCCTCATTTCTGTCTGCTGTTTATTTACTTTCCGGCTCTCTGAAACGTTGCGGCAAACGGTTGAGGAAAACCACCAAGTTTTTTTAAATGGACAAACAATGAGGTGGAGTTGCTGTTGCGAGTAACGCAAAAGCAAAACGTTGCAAAAGCGAGAATTAAAGAATTTGAAGAAAAGCTATCTGAAGCATGTACAAACTGATATTAATCTTTAATAGGGCTGTCAAACTGCGAGCAAACAAAACAACTAACCTACTCTAAGGCTACGTTCACACTGCAGGTCTGCAGCTCAATTCCGATTTTTTGATCAAATCTGATACTACTCTAAATGGACCTATCTTCTGTAATGAAATTACAATTACTCACAGGGTTCATACGCCTTTTTCAGGGTCAGGTCTAGGTTAAATTAAGCACCTTTGTTCAACCTTTTGTTAAGACATAGAAAAAAAAAATGCACCACACAAAAATTCTGCAAAAGGAAACGGTCACCTTATATGCATATAGTGTATAAACTCAAAATGCACATTTCACTTAAAAATTAAGATGTGAAAATGTAAACAAATCAACTTGTTAGAGATATCCATCTCCTGTTGCTGCTGCTTCTTTCCTGTATGACACACAAAAAAAAAATAGGACAGAGATGTTTGTTTGTTTTTTAAGTTAATTCCAAATAAAACTGTTTTATTGCTAACTACATTGCTGTCTGTATTATTGCTGAAGTCCTAACTGATCCCCTTTAAAGTGTTTGTGCTAATAACATCATGTACAGTCAGACAGGCATGGAGAACAGCACTGACTGGGAGGCTCTGAACTGATCACAAAGTTCAATTCAACCTATAAGACTTTAAGAATGCACAAGCATCTACTTAAAATCTATAAAATTTATAATCCGTGCTATTCTTATGTACAATTCAGTCCAAATTCGTAGACTCCGACAAATGCATCCTCCTTTTCCTCCAATTTGAAGGATGGGTCGGGTGTGTCCTTGGTGGCCCACCATATTCCAGAATTCCTAGCATGGCCCAGCCAATTCCAGTTTCCGCCAATGTCAGCAGCTACTAAGTTTTAATATTACTCCAATTACTCTTTCTGAGTCACAAAATAAACTTTTAAGATATTTTTAGGCAAGAATGTAGCTGTGTAAACTTCAAATATCTGCTCGGTTTATCAAGACATCACATATTTTCAGAAGTGCTGCGACATTTTCGGAGACGTCTGTTAGCAACCAGCTCGACAGCTAGCCGGGGCAATAACAGTGAACCCCCCCCCCTCTGTCTTTCGCTACTCAGGTTAAACATGATATAAGTCACTTAGAGAACTTAAAAATGTTAATTTGGCTTTTTTCAGTGTTTTATTTGTTTGTGAGTAAATCGGTTTGGCTGAGATTAAAGTTATAGTTTTCACACAGCTGAATAAAAGTCAAATGAAAACTGATTATCAGAAATGTGAGATGATCGAGAATTATGCCAGTATCCTGTTATATTTTAGACAGAAATGAGCAGACGGCCGAGTTTATTAAACTCCACCAAGACAGCTGGTGATGCAAATCTGAAGGCTAGACCGTCCAGTTTCACAGCCGCTCACTTCTGGCCTACCCTACCTTCTGAGGACCCGGCCCACGTAGACCGCAAAGGCCGGGTCCTCAGGAGGATGCAGCCTATGAATCTGGACACCCCTAATATCATACATTATCCAGGTATTGCAGTATAGTATGCTGCAGCATATTTATGGGTGGAGCCTAGTTAGTGCTCTGAATCACTAAATAAGCCACACACAAATACACAACAACGCACCATTAAACTTTGAGGCGCTGATGACTCTTGTTGATTCCTCAAGACACAAAGGTGAGGCCTCTTCACTCCTGTGACACCAGCTAGTCTGCAGAAAGAGCAAGAGAACACATATCTTTAGCAGGGCCATGCAGAAATGTTTAAAAGGGTTGATGCTTAAAGTTAAAAAGGGGCACAGATCCAGGCTGGAGAACAACAACACACATTTATCAAGAATCTAATATGGAATCATATCATACTATATCACTGTCATCAGGTGGGAACAATGCAAAGCAAACGCAGTTTATGTTTTACCTGATGGGGTGCAATGTTGCTGTTGAGGGGTTGCTGCTGCTGCTGATGGTGCTGGAGGACAGGGCTGTGTTGATCTGAGGCATTAAAGAGTCCATAGGAAAGATGGTAGCTAATTAAACAAGTCTTATGACACAATAATAAAATCCAAAGACTGGTGACACTGCAGTGTCACCAACTGTGAGAAATAAACTAGGCTCTGCTTGTGAATCACTCATTGCTTCTCTTCCTCCTTTCATCTCCTCGTCTCATGTATCATCTCCACTTGCTGTCCATCTGATAGTTATAGTAATAGTTAAATATTATTGTTGAGGGCACAGGCAGGACTCTACATGCACACACACATAAAAAAACATTTGCCTCAAGAAAAGGGCACTTGGGGCATCCATCAGGAAAGGGGCAGGTGCTTAAGCCC